TCGCCGAGGTCGTGGGCACGAGGGTTCTCGATGAGGATGGGGAGCTCACAGCAACCATGGTAAGCTCAAATGTTGCTATGCATCCCAAACCTGTCAACTCTGATCTCTTCCGTCGCACAGTCGAATGTTCAGCTCCCACTTCCGGTCGAGAAGAAGCGCGGTGAGGTATATACCACGGAGCAGCTCTACCAGATAAACAATTTCCTCAAGGAGAAGCTCCTGAAAGAGTGGAAGACGTACGCAGCCCATTATTGGCACAATGGCGCGTGGTGGTGCCGATGCAGCGCGCAGGTCTTCAACGAGGTGCGTCGATCGGATGTCTGGTGCGGAGCCGCGCTGAGGGACAACATGTTCGCAGCTCTCCGACTTCGAGTACCTTGGGAAGGCGTTCAACGCTGTCTGCAAAGAGGCTGAAGAGACCATCCTGAAGAAGAGCGTATAGAGACAAGCATACCACGGGCGTGAATATGTAACAAACAATGCATGGTCATAGACAGAAGAGTATAAGTGCTCACAATGTATCAATGTCAATGTCATACCTGGACGAGGACAATCGTACTGTAGACGGTTCAATTCCTCTCGCAATGAAGTATCTTCTACAATACCTCCTGTTGATTGAGCATATGCATGCGGAGTGCCCTGCGGATGCAACATATGATACACGAACTACTACACCGGACCCGCAACGTCCAGAGGAGACCACCCCAAACCCAGAGAATCCCTGAAAGCGTGACATGAACCCGGGACACCCAACGAAACGTGATGTTAGCTCGTGACGACCATGAACGACTCGGGGGACAGCTTCGAGTCGTGCGCGGACGTTCTGGGGCTCGGGCTGGCAGGCTTTTTCAGCGCTTGTGACTTGAGGCGGTACTTGGATGGCTTCATGAACGCTGCCTCGCGGGCGGTGTGCTCCTCGAACGTGACGGTCGTGTCGCGCTGGATGGCAACGACGATCTCGCGTGAAGGTCCCGGCTGTGATGTGGTCCCCTTGCGCGAGTTTTCGTGCTATCAAAGGCAAGGGAGGTGTGTTAGCCTGATGTAAGTCGAACACGACAAAGGCATGGTCATGGCACGCACGCTTCGACGGGAGAGGCTGTGTGAAGACGTCAGGTTTGGGAGTGAGTTATGTCCGAACTTCTCTGCCGAGTTTCGTAGGCCTTCGCGTGCATTGAGCGTTGAGAGAAGGGAGATGCTGTACACTGTGCGAGGGAAAATGTAGGTGAAGGAAGGGGCGAGTGTGTACCGGTTTGTGAGAAATCGCTATGAACCATAGTGGGCAGATTGAGACTCACTGCGGGAGCCGATGTAGTAGAACATGACATATACAGAGGTGTCGGGGAGAACAATAACCTGCGAGGGACATCAGCTCGCACTCGAGGGTATCAGAAGAACGATTGTGCCCGCACGGTAATGAGCGACAGGACGGAGCAGAACCTGCAAGGTGCGGTAAGTGACGTGATTCGTGGTCGATCCTGTATCAACTCACGTAGTCAACAAGCCCGAATTAATTGTGTAAAATAGCTGTACACATGCAAATCGTGAGCTGCAATAAGCCGTGAAATGTGAGCATACACGTACTAGTTTATTGATCAGGCGATCTGACCTGTGGAGAAGACACGTTCAATGATACAGCATGAGCAGTCAGTTATTCAAGTTTACCCGGTAGAGCCTGTCCGAGACCTGGCAAGCAGGGTAACGAGTGAGCCGCATAGCACCATATCGGTAGTGGCAGTCATCGTGCTCATGGCGATATCAAACGGCTGGGCTGAATCTCAGCGACTTCGTCACAAGTATGAAATAGCGGTGACGTACAGTGAGCTTGCTAAACTCCGAAAGAGCCTTGGTTTGGATACTGTTCGGTCGACATGGATGGGACTGGGGCTCAGAAATTTACTAATACCCCACAAAATGTGCCACGAACCTTTTGACGCATAGCACTATGCCGGCGAATATCGTAAGCCCGGCTCGGGAAGAAGAATAGCTTGCAGGTACTCACGGATTCCAAGGGCTGAAACGACACACTACGACGTTAACACGGTGCGGAAGAGCAATATATCGTACGTACCGAGGTCCGCTGCAACGAAAAGACCCTAGGAGTCTGTTAGTGTCGAGTGCATAGATCATTCCGCCACAGCGGGGCGCACCAGCATGCTAGCCAGAATGTAGCTCTTGCTCACTGCGCCAGTGGTTAAGTCTCGCAGTGCAGCGAGTGAGGAGAGAAGAGTACGCACGTGTCCATATTCGGAACATATAGAACCTATAGACTTTGAGAATAATCAAGAGGCGGCGAATAAGGAATACCTACGACTGAATGATGGCGATGGAACATGCCTAACGGAGCAAGGGCGTTCGGGAGTGTCCTCGCAGAAGTATGAAAAGACTCACGTTGATGATGATCTGGGCCTGTTACATGAAGACATTTAGCACGGCACACGAATTTGCTTGAGTTGGTCTTACATTCGACGTCCTACGAGCAGTCTGTTGAATGTCTTGAATCCGGTGCGAAATAGATTAGCTCACCATGGCAGAGGATCACCACCAAATGAAACCAAATTCTTGTCAACGAGATATTGCCACACTTGCAGAAAGATCGGTCAATGATGCGAATGTCAGGTGACGATACTACTCACTTGACGCGAAGTATAATGCCAGACTGGTCGTATCCAAAGCCCAGATGGCACAAACCTGAACCGAGGTAATCATCTCATGGCTATCTAGAAAGAAGCAGTACTAACCATCACCTTCAAGGACGTCCGGTCCCGCGGATAATGCCTGAAGTACCACATAACTTGTCCGCTGGTGACTACGTGAACGCGTGTGAACTGGGGGCCAAGATCCGGGACCGGGGAACAGACCTCCAAACAAGCTTTCCGATAATACAGTCAGCTGACAAGTTCTCGTGAGGGAAAACATCCGGTGGACTCACCTAGCGGTCACGGTCATCCCTACCATAATCACCCCGATCCTGGAGACCTCGTGAGCGTCCCAAGTACAAACACCTCACGGCGAAAACCTGCGAATCCTCGACTGAGTGACACGGACACACGTACGTTGTATCGAGGAAGGAGGACATGCTGGCAGATGGGCATGGGCAGCACGTCGAGCTGCCAAATGTGCGCGGAGGCAAAGGGACGCGAGGAGAACACCAGGGCGGGGGCGGGGCGATGGGCCACCCGACATGTCTTTAAGCCTCCCGCGCGACGTGTGCAGGGCTGCACAGTGCCCACTTCCGCGATCGAATGAGCTAGCCTGGGAGTCGGTTGCAATCAAATCCACGACCCATATTGGAGCGCCATTTCGGCTGATCTGTTGTGGCCCCCCACGCACGGGTTTTCGTCCATATAGAAAATCCTGCTCCCCCTGTATCATTGTCCGCCCAAGTCGATCGCGCGGCGTATATTATACCTTCAGCGCTTGCTGGCTCTCGACTTATAAGCGTGTAAATCGCTGTCCGCCTCTGGCTGTGGCTGCAAGTGCGGTCGTCAAAATAGAAGGGCTGGCCGCTGAGGACATACTTACTGGACCACGATCAACGCCCGATTGATGGTTCCTTCCCATACCGCTTCGCCGGTGAGGTCTCCGGGAACGGGCGACAACTGGCCGGGCAGTGGCGTTTCTAGGCTAGTAGCAACCAGTAGCACGAGCTACTGGTTATCTCCTTCCCTTCTCACAGAGAGCATCCGCTGAATCGAGAACACGCCCCCGCAGTATGCCTGGTACTGCAAAGAAGCAAGGAAGGAGAGGCGTTGCGATTGACCGTGCGTTTCGTGGGACCAGTCCTGAGCATGCGTACGTTGATTTGCGGGGAAAAGCTTCCAGGCAAGTGGTAATTGAATCGGGCGTGGAATCTTGGCTGACGAATCTCGGTGAGCGGATGCTCCGGATCCGATCGCCTACCGCCACCACACTGTAAGCGGGAGCTCAGCGTGCTCATGATAGTGGCGCACCTAGCCTTTGGACCTCCCAACCAAGCAGAGGTGGCAGCTGCGGAGGATAACACTCTAGTGGTGCGCACAAGTTGAAGCACGTCGGACGTGTTAGTCGCGCCAATGACAAAGGTTGGATGCAAGTCCACTACTAACGGAACGCAAGACTCACAACTATATATCAGGCACAGCGCACCGTCTAGCCGTCCCAAACATCAAGGTCAAGAAGCGTTCGCGGGAGAAACGCCATATACGATGCCCCATATGGTTTGCCGCCAAACAGTTGCGGTGGATACGGAGGGCGGCGGAACGTACCTTGCATGCTCTTGCCACGTCTTCTGTAGCTATTTCAGCGGTGGCCAACACAACGATGTGTAGCATTTGCATTCTTTTGGTGTTAGGAAGGAACGAGGGGGCGAGGCAAACGGTACTGTCGTCCAAGCCTCATCCATGCTTTCTTCAACCATGAAACCAGGAGTGTGCAGGCGACGATCCTTGCCTAATGCTGAAGAGGTCGTCTTAAAGGCTAGGGGATGCAACGGGCAGTAGAACCCGGTACTATCGACTCCGGTACTGCTCCTCGCGCTCATGAAAGGCAACATATTCAGAGTCCTGCAGATCTAACCGTGAGTAACGCCCTCAAGTGGCGCAAGTAGGAACATACCTGTCCGCACAAGGAAGCTGTCAGAGCCAGCAAGGATTACGCGAGGTGCAGGGTCCTGGGTACTACCGGCAATGGATACCCCAATGCCCGATCGTAGGTTATATGCAGATCCGCGTTGAAGTGTGCACGATCTAGAGATAGCTCATCATGTATACACACCTACACCGCGCGCATGAGTCTAGGGGCCATAAGAATCTAACAAACTGCCAACAGTGCATAGAGCTCGAGTCAGCGACATGGACGTATAGTGTCGAATCACGTACTTGAGATAACTTGGAGCTGTTTGAAGCCCGCCCTTTGAGACAGACAATCGGAGAGCCAGAAACAAAAGCAGGGGCTCGGGCATGATTTCAATGCGACTTGGGACATCGTGCACTGGAGCAAAAACACGTCAATTACCTTCCTAGTCCTTCGAGTCGGGGTCGAACCAACGGCCTCAAGATCGCGTGATAACCATTACAGTCTTGCGCTCTTCCAACTGAGCTATCGAAGGGTTGCATAAAAGGGCCTACAGATATATATACTGGTAAGGCTGTTATCTAGGGAAGGTTCGAATGGAACGACGTGGATCATGGACTATGACGGAAGTGTATGGTACTCCAAGCGGCAAGAGGATGGTCTCGCGGGAGGAAGAATGTCGCGAGAACGCCCTGCCCTGCTCCTGTCGCCCGCGCACTAATAAAGCTTAAGACTGGGGATCTGCATCGGCGCGACGGCCAAGTAATATTATGGTACGAGCGTGAAATTCGCGGTTAGCAGCCGAGGAGACGGTGGATGTGACCCCACTCAGTCGGGCATCCGTAATTGGCTCGCAGCTGGGCGGGCATCTCCCCAAAAACCCCACCCATGACTGACCCAGGTTCCCACAAGCTAAAGGCCTAAATACCAGCCTTCGCAACTCTCACCACAACCACAACCATCCCCGCCGTCGATTCAACTCGCACGCTCACCACTACCATGTCCACCGTCCTCCGCAACGTCTCCAAGCACACCCGCTCCCTCTCCGCCGCCTCGCGCAGCGCTCTCATCAGCGCAAAGGCTCCCCGCGCGACCCGTGCCTTCCACTCACCCTTCGCCGTCCTCGAGGCCTCCGAGAGCCCGCTCACCCGCGCGCCCTCGCCTGCGTCCGTCGCACGCGGCCTCTACGAGAAGAACATCGAGTACTCCTCGGAGCCCTTCATCTCTGGCGCAGGCCACCGCACCTACGTCGTGTCCACGCCCGACCCCGCCAACACCCCGTACGAGGTCCCCTCGGGTGCATACCCCACCTCCGCCCCGTACGAGAACTACGCCCGCACCGATTCGCCCTTCCCTCCGAACGCCCAGTACGCGTCGACGGCCCCGGGCCTCGCGCACCCTATCACCGGCAAGGTCCCGCACAACGACTCTGGCGTCGGCGAGAGCGCGGCGATCCGCTACCGGGAGGCCCCCGGGGAGATGCATGCGCGCGGTGGAAGCTATGGCGGCCAGGGTCTCATGGACGCTGCGGGCACCCGCAGGGGCCCCGACGGCGAGCTCCCGGACGTGAACGCCTCCCCCCTCCACGAGAACGCACCCCGTTTCTCGCAGGCCGGTGTCGACAACGCCTGGAAGGAGCGGAAGTGACCTGGGCCTGCACCACGCTAGCGGGCGGTCTCGGAGAGGGTGCCTAGGAGTACTTCCCACCATTTCCCATACGAGTCGCGACTCGTATCATCATCGCTTCGATAACGGGCAGAAGAGGGGTTGACGAGAAAAGGACGTTAATAATCGCAAGTCGCATCTGGAATCCATTCGCGCTGTGTTCTGTATATAATATGTGTGAGGAGTGTACGAGTACGCGTTTGTCACGACCACCATGATAGCAACTGCATATTGTCTCTTGTTACTGAGTTAATCCATAGACTGTACAATGTACATATATCTTGTTGTCATCCACATCACCAGGCGGTACAAGGTTGAGGTTGACTCTATTAAGTTGTGTCTTCTCGTGAACTGACCGCAGCCATGGCGAGACGCGTCCAGGAGCGCGTCGGCTATAGAGCGTACGTACGTATACGTCACCTGCGTCGTAACTCCACCGGCCCGTTGCGGCACGCAGGGCCCGGAACGACGAAGCGTTGCAACCGCTTGCCATGGTGGTGGATCGTGAACACATGAATCGAATTCGTGAACATCGTAAAACAGGGCAGGCATGAACAGTCATTACTTAGAAGGGGAAGCGGGAACGTATAGGACGCGTAGCGCGGTCGAAGAGCTTGTCGACCCGCTCGCGCATCTGGCGGAGATTCTTCCGAGGGCGGATACCTAAACAGAAGACATATCAGTAAGCAACCGGCTCGCTACGAAAATGGGGTACGCACGTCTAGGTTTGGCCTTGACGGGTTCTGGAGCTGCTTGTACGTTACTGCTCTCTGACTCGGTGGGAGAGACTGGGAGAGACTGAGCAGGCTCATCGAGGGCTGCCGCAATGATGGTAGGCTCAATGATGGCAGGCTCAACAGCCTCGGGCTCATCAGGCTCAATGGGCGCAGTAGGACGGCGGGGCCGCTTGCGAGCTTCCTTTATAATTCTATAAACCAACGCGCATCAGGACCGTCCCCCATGTCCGACATACAAACAAAAGTAAATCGACTCACTTGACAATCTGACGACGCTCGCGGAAGAAGTCGAGCGGATCTGGTATCTCGTCCTGCGCGAGGTGTGCAGTCAAGTCGTACCACAGGTCGACGACAGGGAAGAGGGCGGCATCCGCCTTCACTTGCGCACGCAGCGCTTGAAGCCCAGTGGTCGTCTTCAGCGCGCGCAAAGACTCGGCGAAGCTGTCCACGCTCGTGTTCACAGTGGACGCCGTGCCGCCAGGAGCAGACTCACCCGCGTCACCGGTTCCTGTCATCGAGCTCGAATCGGATGGGCCCCAGAATGGCCAATAACGTGGATGCGGGACCTGAGGTGGGATCGGCTGATTCACGAACGACACTACTCCGGGAAACTCAGAGTCCGGGATGACCGGCGGGGGCGGGGGCGGGGGCAGGGGCGGGAGCGCGGCAAGAGCCAGTGATACACGCTCTTTCTCCGCAAGCATCTCAGCCTCCATACGCAGCATAGCGTCTGGATCCAAGCGCGGGACACCGTTGTCCGCGCTGAAGTAAGACAGCATCTGGCTATGTTCGTTCGTTGGAAGAGTGGTCGCCTCGTCCTGGTTCCAACCTCGGGCCGCGGCACGGATGCGCACAGTCAGCGCGGTGCTGTCCCAGTGGTAGCAGTTTGCAAACGGGAAGGACGGCGCTGTGTGGATGGGCGCACGAGCGTCGGGGTGGGTGTTGTTCGGCGCGATAGGCACGCACATCGTTGGTTTGACCTTGCGGGCGGGATCAGCGGGACGGAGGCAGGGCGCGACAGGCATGACGGAGTAACAGAACCATGGCAGGGATGGATGGGGTAGTGTTATGTCCTGCGTCAAGGCCGTGTCAATGGCAAGAAAGATTGAGGAGCGTACTAGGACGACTTACTTGGTCAATGTAGACCAGGTATGTCTTCGGCTGTATGGCCCGCGCAGCATCGATGGCTACTTTGTCTATGCCCGATGCGCTCGCAACAGTAGCGACGGGGTCCATGCGCAGTGCAGCATAGCAGCCTGCGGAGGGGTAGTACCTCGTTCGGGACATTGGGAGATCGGGGGGGTTGGCGATGAAGTTCAGTAGGTGTAGAGGAGTGCTGGGGATCGACGCACGAACTTGTTAACATACATACCTGCGCAAGGGCCATAAAGCCCCAGTAACCCATGGCAATCGCATCCTTTGTCTCTTCACCTCGCCATCACTATCGTCCGCCGTCGGGTGTGCCACTTGGTATTGTGATTGCTCTGCTGAGGCGGCGTTTTATTGTTACATCCCTGATGTGCAGACGGCGCCGCGTGAGATAGCAGATGCAAGTCTTGTCCTTTCAGAAGTTGGATATATCAGAAATCCTCTCCTACGACAGTCTACGACTCGGCAGAGCATGCAGATGATGGGAGAAGCAGGTGGCAGCGGGAGACAAAGGAAGACTAAAAAACACACGCTTGCGCATCACATCACCATTCCCTTCCATAGAGTTCAAGCTACATCCGGGGCACGTAATGCAGCATAGTCGACATCGTTTTCGCACCCAGTCCTTTCGCGCAGCCAGTGTCTATTATGAACTAAACTACTGAACATGCAGGCATTGCGTGGATGCTCGAAAATAAGTGAAAACCAGTCGACAATTCAGCGAGAGATAAGAGAAACAGAGGGACAGGAATAGGGATAGAGATAGACTAGAAGTCCCGAGCGATCTACGCCAGCAGCTGGTATGCATCAAAAACAAAGGACACGGACGATAGCCTCCGACATCGGTCGCAGGTTGGGGAACGTGGGTGACGGACAGCAAGGCGGCCCGCAGCACTGGCTGCTCCGGGCGCAACACAAGTGCAGGAGAACATGTGCGTGGGCACCCTGGTGGGCAGAGGGTGCGAGAAACCGATAGGGCAAGAGAGGAGAGGAAACGATGGAAACGAGCGGCGGTGTCCTTTGGGCCGGAACCAGAGCGTGACGAGGAAGCGCAAGGCGGTATACGTATATTCAAGATCGAAGCTCGAAGCTTGAAGACCGAGACGAGGAGACTTCCGGAAATGCGATATTACGACGGGGCGCCAACCCGGGATAGCAATAGCGAATATACACAAGGCGAATGGAACGGGTATGCAGGCGGTTGTGTGCTAGATGCTGGCTGTGCGAGGTGGTGGTGTGTATGGGGGCGTCGCGGGTCATGAAACGGCCATGAGGATGCGGATAGCGAGATAACTCTCAGAGCAGTTTGATGTCGAATAGGGGTTGCGGTAAGTTAGGTCGTTCATCGAGTCGTCAGAGCCGTCATAGGAGGAAACGCTTGCAAATCTGCAGATGCCATAACATAAGACTTCAATTAGCTTAACATACAGAAACATGAATTGACCCACAGATGATCCGCGCAGCCCGTGCGCGCCGAGGGAATAAAAGTCCTTTATGCCCGACAGCAGAACGCAGCCCAGAATCCCTTCTTCCGCCCCATACCATGCTCGTCCTGCTCCCCGACACGTTCCATCTGCTCCCTGTCGTACACCGTCATTCCGCGTGTCTGGCCGTTCATGCCCTCCTGCCGTGTACCCGCGGTCGTCGTGCCCTCCCGGCTCGCAGTGCCATTCTTGGTCGCGCCTTGACCATACATGAACGAATCTGAGTTGTTGGGCTGCTGAAGAAGACCTGAACCGTTCGCACCTGGAGCACCGTTGGGAGGCACGGGTGACTGGCGACCATACGCATTCGTGCGGTATCCGCCAGAGCTCCCCGGCGCCGCATAGGGATGAGGGGCTACAAGCCCGCTGTCACGCTCTGCGCGTGGAATCTGCTGTTGGCTCTGCCGCCTGCTCTGCGGAGCAAGGGGTTGCACGCTGACATGCTCACGTGAACCGCCACGCGACGCATCGTGAGGCCGGCGACTGCTGCCCTTGACATG